GTTGACCATAAAACACTCAAGTACCTGTTCTAAAAATGTCAAACATTTAGGAAAACAAGTAGTTCCCTTTAAGATTAATGCTCGGTGTACTTACAATAAGAAGATTACACAGTTACTTAGTTACCAACTTAATCTGATCGAGCAATAGGCTAATATTCCCTCGTATCGACTGTGGCTGCCTCAACTATATTCGGGAGCTGGGAGGGTATCGAACCGGTATGTTCAACTGATCCGCGGAGTGTGATACTTCTCTATCCCAGTGAGTATGAGTTATTACAAGGTTCAGCCTCTCTCTGCTCACCGCTTCAACTTTTTCAAGGGATATACAGTTTTGGAATTTTTCCAAAATCAAGGCAGCTCCGCGAAAAGTAATGTTTTCATTTTCGTTTCATAATGTAATTTAATTCCTGTCGGAAATGGAGCGAATACGTTAATAGGAACGGACGAGCTCTAAGCGAACCTAAGCAAGAAATATGCTCTCAGTCGACTGCCGAAACTCGATAACTATTTTGAGATGATAGCAGCTTTTCCTATCCAGTATTTCTAGTTGACTGGGCTAAAGATGCACCCCGGAGACCCCAAGTACGACTCGCGAGATTGATGAATGGATGTTCATTGTGTCTCACGACTTTCGTATGAGACAAGGTCTGGAAGCCAGATGGCTGCAACTTGCACCACATTAGATGTAATACTATCAATCTGTCAATAGAGCTCTGGTACATCTCTGAAGTTGGTCTCTGGGATGTATCTTTTTGTGACTTTAATTTGATTTTCCCATGAACAACATCACTTTTTTGTAGTTCAATTGACGGAGATGTTAGAATTAAAAGCGATGCAAAGCAATGAAACCTGTCGATCATAAAAGCTGTAGGAGCATTTATAGTACAGGCGTTACAACGCGAGCGTCGGCGTTGACCGTCATTCGATACTTCTCAAGTCGATGGCTCATGCTGCAGCGTGCGGGCTGCAGTTTTCCTGCCGCGACCATTTTTGAAGGCGACTATATCATGCCAATCACCAATGAGACGATATTTCTCTTCCCACCTGATTCATTTCTTCCTATTCTTGTCTCATATCGGGGAAAAAGTAGGGTATGTGCTTTGGTAAGAAGTATTGCTCAATTAGCTTGGGAATTGGAACATATAGAAGTGCTGAACCACTTAAGGTCGCCGAGGAGAATGCCCAATTCCGATATGACCTGAGGACGGCTCCTCCTGACCCTACCCATATCGTGGTACTTGCCTTACATGGTTAGCACGTCAACGAAGGAGTTATGAGTAACGGTAGTAGTCCATAGTACGTAATTACACAGATGACTCAAGACGTGTGTACGTAATGCCCTATTTACGTAATTTTGCAATTCATATGATTTGCGTCATCGATTGTAATGAGAAACAAATGCCTTTTATAGAATTCATTCCGGAAATGATTGAATCATGGGCTGGGCTGTGTTACATTGGTTAACCCCTTGCCAGGAATGATTAATTTGATGATTAACCCTTTTGTAAATGAGAACCACTAGATAAAAGACGTAAAGGGCGTCATGGGAGGCACCACTCTTCGCAAAAACAAGTTTTTCTTCCCTTTGCTTTCTCATTACACTATCCATTCACGTGTTTTTCTATGTTTGGTCACATTTGACTGCCTTATTCGCTTCGCCCAATGTTTGTTTTTACCTGGCCCTTTTGTTGCCATCGACGGTCCTCCTTCGACGTATTGTATTTGTGTGTGTTTCAGATTACGTTTCTATGCGTAGTAGTAACATCTGAAATGATGATCGACGTCGTCGATCCGCGAAAATTTCGTTCTTTTTGTCTTCGTGGCGAAGGACGAGCAAATTTTGTCATTAGTGCTAAGCACACGACATCAGGAATAAGGTAAATCTTTCAATCCCTTGGTTCAAACTCGAGCGGTATCCATTGCTTGGAATCCGCAACAGCTCTCAGATTTTGCTCTTTTTTTGTATGTGACGGCTGGGAGATAGTGCAGTTTTGGTGCTTCTCTTCACACTCCAAAAAGGTTACTGCAAAAATCTTAAATCCTCTGCGTAGTTCTGGGAAGAGCTTTAGCTTTTTATTGATAATCTCGACTCCGGGAATAGCATAGTTCCCCGGTGCCTCGATGGTCTCAACTTTTTCCGGTTGGAGCCCTTTGGGGCAGCTTCCCGTTTTCTCTTATTATTCACTCATTCAGAATTGTCTGGAGGTTCGCAAAGGCAAGAAAAAGTGGTCTTCTAACATGGAAGGCTAAAAGTGAATTAGTAAATCAATATATGGAGCGGTTCGTCTCTCCTTTTTTCGACGCGCGGTTTCTGGTAAATCCAAAAATCATCGAAATGGCAGTTACTGATGTCCACCAATTAGCAAAGGTATGTCATGGTTAAACTCTCGATACATTCGCTCCACGACCTTCTTTCTATTCAATTTTCTCTCTTTATAACTTCGATCTGGCTTATACGAGAATGTTTTGCAAGAAGGGCAAATCTAAGGGTCGTCACGAAGCTGAAATTAATGTTACCAGATTGGATATACACTTTTATGAATAGAACGCTTCCATACATCGCTGTCGAAACGTTCGGTTGCACATCTGTTAAATGTGACGAGGCATATGATCTCAGAATAATTCTTGTTAAAATGTCTATTAACCATTTCTTTTACCATTTGATTTTTTTATTTCTTAAAACAATATTTTTAGATCCCTTCGTTACCAGCCAATTTCAAGATCGAAAAATTTGAAGAATTATTAGCCCTTCCCGAGGATCTGTCGTTCTTCCCGTTAAATAATGTACCGAGAAACGTCGTGAGGCTTTCCGCCTTGGAAATGTTGGATGCTACAAGAATTCCGAAACACCTCATTTCCTATATTGGACCGACCATCACGGTTTGTACTTTTACCTCTGCAAATACCATACTAGGAAAGAAACACCATTAATCACTGAAATACTTAACCAAAGTGAAGATTAAACTTTTTGGTCGAATCAGTCCCCTTCGTGAATGCGTCCTTCCTTCTATCGTTTTCTGTTCAGAATTGTTATTTCTTTCGAGGAGTTTACGACCGAGGCATAATTTTCAGGGGCAAACTGATGTTCTAATGAGTGGTTTTTATCTTACCAAGGGATTCTTGTTCCAACCTACTGATCTTAAAAGATGAAAGGCTTGGTTGGACGGCACCTGGGGCAATCCCTCCCCCTCCCCCTTAATGGGTGGATGTTAATCGTCATCATTTTATAGATTGATTTGGTACGTTTGAAATACCACTAATATGCTAAGTGCCAATTAATCATATTCAGTAGTAATGATAATAATTATGCTTCCTTTCTGATAAAATCTGGTAACGTCCATCGAAATGATTTTCTTTCAGGTAGAAATCAAGCCTAAGCAAGGATTTTTCCAAAATCATGCCTCAATTGATCTTCCATTCTGTAATAATTGCATTCTACAGGTATTTCATACTTTTTCGTCTTCTTCTTTCTTTTGGTCCCCATTCTTTGCGAATAAGTTCTTTTCACCGATTCCCTGACATCTTGAGAAAATGGAAAGGGTGAGCGTGTAGGTTTCTGAGTGCTGCCTCGAGTAATGGCAATGACAATTTTCCGGATGTTCTCGTTACTGCGAGCGTTCTCATTTCCTTTTCAGCTCGAGAAATGCGGCTCGGACCATTACGAAGAGATGTACGATTTCTGCCCAATAGACCTCTTCTCGGGAAACCTATCTAGAATGAAGTCTGCTCTTGAGGCACTGTTGAAAGTTCCACACAGGAACCTACGTATTTTCGTCGACGGAAACCTGGTATTAGCTTAGCTCACTGCTTTCTTTCTGAGTTGTTTTTAACTTCTGCGTAAAATTGAGAAACTTCTGTTCAGATACACTCCGACGAATCTCTTCTTGATGCCACTCTTTTTTCAACGACCTTATTTCCTAGTGGACAGGGGAACGCAGATGACTTGATTACAGCGGTAGGACTTCATTAAAGGCAGCATGTCTCATATTTTCCAATTCGATGCCGCGAAATTTAGCTGTGCCTCGTGCTGGCAGGATGTGAGGATGTTCGCGACTTTTCCTTACGGGATGACTCCGTTCTTGGACAAATTCTGGTGGCGCAGAAGATTGATTCAGTGGGTATCGTTAAAGCTCATCAAATATACAAAAGTCTTCCAGCTGCCGTGCAGGTATGTCGTCCCATTGTTATCGCCTTCCTTTACGTCATTAGATTTCCATCAATTCTTTCAGTTTTCAGAAAGAATTGCACGACAAAAGTCGCCTTCCTGTTAGAGGTCTAGAAGTCCTGGAGGCAACAGATGATCGAGCTCTTCTAGAGCAGTATCTCTTAGCTGCAACGATGAAGGATTGTTCCGTGAGTTCAAATTATCGTTGCTCTCGAAAGCTAAGTATATTTAACGATCATAAATGGGGATGTACATTGGGGATGTGAGATGTGTAGTTTGCACCTAGCATCTCACTACTTATCGTTATGCTTATATTCTTACGTAAAGAAGAGCTGGGCTTTGAGGAGCCAGGGATGTCAGAGATTGAGAAACGAATCTCAAGAAAGTGCAACTGTTTCTGGACCTTACTTCATTGTTATTCTACCAGGCGGGTACAGTATTGAAGATTGAAACTCCCTTCACCACATGACCTCGGCAGCTTTAAGTTCCAACAGGGCTATAGTCTCTCAACCTTCTTACCTTAACATGATAGGCTTTTTTTGGCATGCTCAATAAGCAGTATGAATCCTTTGTGAAACTTTGCATTAGGATGTTAAAGTGTAAGGAACTGTAAGAAACTTACAACAGGCCATCCAAAACTGCAATTCTCCTCTCGTCTGTTGCTGCCAGTACACACTCACTAAGATATCACCCTGCAATCCCTCAAGCTGTTGCATCACCAATGGACGCTTTAATTTTTTCATCAGTTCAAGGCGAAATATTCGAAAAAAGGCAAAATATGAATTCAATAGTGGCACAGCGCCCAAGTCTCGTGTGGGAAATTCAAATCACAAAAAGAACGAAATGCTTCAGAGACTTTCTAAGAATGGAAAGTTGTGTAGACTAGGGTGTTTGGAAACTATCTGTCGGAAATTTCGTAAAAATCCAGATGTTTGCGGAGTGTTCTGTAGTTCTGTAGTGTTTCCCATAAGAATTCTATGGAAGAGGTGTCACAAAACGATACTCCCCTTTGCGGGTGCGTGAATAATCCGGAAGTTTTCATGACACAATAGTTGGTTGACCTGCTCTAGTGTCATCTTTGACCGTCCTGGTTTGCGCTTTGGAGTGTTGGAATAGAGCTTGCACTACTAAGTTGGGGTTTCCAGGCCAAACCTTGACACTCCTTTCGATGGGCTTTAGAAGCGAAATGGCGTGATTCGAAGTCGTAAAAAAGTGCTGTGTCGAATATGGGAAGACATTTCGACCATTTCAGGGTTGAGCAAGCAAACATTTTGAATCAATTTCATGGAAACTTCCAGAAGATTCGAGAAAAATTCCGACTGTTGCAAAATTTTCAACAGGTACCCTCAGAAAGGAATGTTGCTATTCCGTGCTTTTAGCGAATGGTTCACTGTTAGCAAACAACATTTGGGGGAAACACTGGAATTCTCATTTGCTCTTGGGGGAATGAAACCCTGGTAGGAAACACGTTTGGACGAAATTCCAAACCTACGAACATCTTACCAATTCTTTTCCTCAGCGATGTAGATTGCTTGCAAGATGCCTACAACTATATTACACACGGTCACTTTTGATAAGAGAGAAGGCATCAGCGGGGCAAATATTTTCCTACCTAAAGAGACTAATCTGAGCCAGAAAATTATCTAAACAGATACTTTAAGGTAATTTGGAGCTTAATCTCAGCCAAAATAATTTTAGCTATCATTAGGCCCATGTATCCATTTATTTCATTTCCATTTTCTCGAAGATCCTATGTATGCCTGCATCCCTCCACTTTTTCGCTTCATTTTGTCTGCTTTTCTATCTTCATAACTTTACAGATAATGGCTTCTTTCCGATTGGTACCATCAGGAACGTATCACACTCCTTCAGGTGTTGATGAAGCTCAAATGATCAAGCTGGCTAATGGTCAGGTTTCTTTATAGATATATATAGTAAAAGTTGCATTGAGAGTGTACATTTCAGGCTTGTGCTTCGCGTATTCCGTGAAGATTGTTGATTTAGACCCTAAGAGCCCTAAAAATTTAGTCAGTGCCTTTGCAAGATTTATGGCCGGGGTTAAATTGATTCGTCTTGAATCCGTTACTAGAACTCCCTGTGTTGAATCCCTGTGATACTTCGTTGCGGTGTTGATTACTTGGTCACTTTAACAACTGTTGATACTATAGGGTCTAAAAGCATGTTTATTTATTGCTCACAATTTTTTCGCTCATTCTGAGCGCACTGCCTGAGTTCCGAAAAAAGCAGTCGACGCAGAGCCGACACGGTCTATTCGGCTGCATATCACATTAAGCAAGTGAGTCAAGCTTGATCGCAGAAAGCGACATCGCCTGTTGTAGCTTTCGCCACAGATCAAACTGGGCTTTCTCTATGATTTCGGACATTCTCGCCTGTAAATGTTGTCAATGACTTGTGATGACTTTGTGTATAATACTGGAATCTCATTAACCGAAAAAACTTTTTCTCACAATTTCAGTATTCACTTTCAAATGCTATTGCACTTACTTCTTTCGTTCATTCCGGAATTATTGTTATTTCTTGCCGGTATTACATGGAACGCGTATCAAGTGAACATCGAAATTGTTGTTGCTTCTGAACCTTTTTCGTTTGATGGAAAGCTGCACCACAGTTTGCCTCATTAGATTTACTCGTAGTAAGCAAAGTTGTGAAGTTCGCGTTTGGTACGACGTGCTCATGTAAGGTGTATGTAAGATTAACCCTGGTGTTTCGCTTCTATCAGTCGCCGTTATTTCCTGTATTCTGTTGTTTTTCTGGAGCTTGTTGAATCTGAACTTATATCATATAATAATAATAGATAAGAACCGATTTCCATTTGTTTTTCTGTTGAGTAAGTAGAGTGGTAGAGTACCGCATTACATACATACATTCATTACTCTTCTACAATCGAACTGAACAAGCTAAAAGGGAAAGGTTCTACGAACTGTGCAAGTGCTTTCTAACTCACCATTTACAGTTTGTAGTAAGTAGCGGGTTCGGTACCCGAATTCTCACGGTTGCAGGCATGCACACAGCTGTAGCTCCCACTCGGTAATCACTTACTAGGGATTCAAGTTTTACCCCTGTTCCGATCCGCGCCAAGTGCAGAGACCGGTTTGGGTAGAAGATTCCAGATCCTCAACACCAAACAGATGAAGAATCGCCATATCCAAATTCGACTAAGTATGACGGTTTAAAAGTGAAAAACGTGAAGGTTGTTGTTGAGCGATAGAAACATACTGGACGTAGTTGTATAACACAGTGTTTTCTATGTCAATTAAGATACCGACTCAAAAATAGCCAAATTCTGTCAAAGGGCACATCAACCTTGTGTTTGTTGACAGTTGATGTCCCGTGCGTTGACAATCGGGCATGTGAATTGCATCGGTATTATGAATTACGAACATTACAAATTCAGCGGAATAATATTGAAAATCATTAAAAATCAAGGGAGAGGGCAGTTATATCGATCAGGGGTCATTATTATGCATTATAGCCTTTTTCATTGGCTCAATACACCTGTTTTTTTGGCAGGATGATCGAAAATGCGTCTTAGTTGTCGAGCAACATGTGCTCTTTGATATAATCGCCCACAGATGATGGGTGAGGAACAATAACATCTCTCAGAGCATAAACTGAGTAAACAGTTTTAATGACAGAAATTCAAGTAGGAGTTGATAAATGGGAGGAGTTTGAGCAAAAGACAGAACATGACCGAAAATTGCTTTTCAACGCCATTGGAAAGCACCTAGCCCTTTTTTATTTAATCAGTGTTCCTATTGAAGAGGTCAAATCGACCAATACATCTGCACCATAACAAAGATCAAGTAAAAGTAGTAATTGTAGCACTATGTCAAAGCTACGAGGCTTACCTTATAAGTAATGGGTTCCTAGGTTGAATCGATTGTAATAGGTACAATCTTCGGCTTTTCACTTAGAAGAAGCGTCTCTGGGAGTTGTTAAAGTCGTACCTCAGCCTGCAGTGTCATTGCTGTAAAGTGCAAGAAAATATTGATGAACTCTTGACAACAATGTGTTTATCGCCCAAAGTTCGCTCTGTACTTTTAAGTTTCCCCTGGTTGACCGGTTTTTAGGAAGATTCTCTTCCTGCAGGGTCTGTATTCTATCGTCAGAGCCAGTGTGTGTACTTCAGAAGGTACCGGCGCGACGCAATCGAAGGCGTTGCGAACAACGAACAGTTCTTAAGACAGCTGTAGGCGGTCAATTAAAGTGGATTATTGATGAACCGAGGACCGGCGATAGTTTACCCATGATGACGCATGGGTTGGGTTTGTTTCTTGTCGAAGTTCGTGCCCTTCGCAGTGTTTGCTGGTCACATGTCGTACGCCGTCACATTTTCACGATCACAACAGCCGGCTGCCGTCGACTGTTTCGGCGAACGGTGCTGATAGGACGTGCGTTCCCTAACACGCCCAATCTTGAACTTTTTTTTTTACACTTTTCCTTCTGAGAATTCCCTTGTAACTTCAGTAATGCGATTGAACACGATGTGATCGTTTAATCAGGTCGCGTGCAATCAATCACTGGGGCACGTCCCAAACCGTGATCCCCGATCCCCGGATGTGGGACGTTTTTTGCTCCCGATTTTTTTGTTTACCGTTCTCTTTCTTTGTAAGTATATCGTGTTATCGCTGTTCAAACAATTTCTGACCATTTGTTCTCAAAAAATCTTCGCGTACTACTGGAATTCATTCGTTAACTTTGCTCTGAAACTTTGCCTATTTGCAAGTTACAGGATTGGGAACGTGAAATCCCTTCCTTCGTGATCGAATCTTACTAGTTCTGTGTGTATTCGTCTGTAGGTATTGAGGTTGTCATCGACCGGCTTCTTCTCCTGGTACCGGCATTGATTTGTCTGAACGGATGAGCCCTTTGTCCTCATTCATTTTGAATAATGAGGGTTCGGATTAATCCGAAGGTACGTAGATTATCCGAACACAGAATTTCTTGTGGACGTCGGTGCTTTTTTGCTTTTCTGGCAGTTCTCCTCTGATGTTTTTTGTTTGTTGAAGCCCGGCGACGGCAAAACCTATTTTGCTACCATTGATTGATGGGTTCTTTTCCGATTATTACGTGATAATCGGTAATTTTAATGAAGGGTAAGGGTTTGTAAGCATCAGGTTTCTCCAATGAAAACAGGGACAGTTTGATTGGAAATAGATACTCCAACTGAAACCAACTAATGCTTTATAGTACTGCTTATCGTGGGAAGTCGGATTTTATCACCACTCACTTGCCGGCATTTTTTCCGTAATGATAAGCGTGACTTTCTTCGGTCCAGCCGGCTGCAATTCAAATACTTGAAGTGAACTTCTTTGGTTTACTGGACGATCAATCCCTTGAAGTCCGAATGGATTTAAGGTGTAATATGGACCTGGCCCTGTACAAAGGAACCAAAATGAAAAGACTCGGTTTCACATCCATGAAATGGCATGGAAACAGAAATATCCATGTTAGGGATAGAAGGGCAGTTGTATAAGATGCTGTTCCTTTATTTCCCACTTTGACTTTTCGGAAATAGTTTTTAATCTGGTGAGTTTCCGAGCAGAAACTCGAATTAGATAACCGGTCAACAGTGAAATGACAGTGACCGTCTGAGGTTATTAGCATTGACAGCTACAACTGAGAGAAAGGTGTATATTTGATACTGCAGTTCTACTGGAGACATGCTATCCTATCGTGGAGAAAATGAGGTCGCGCCGTAAAAGTGGCGGGTAATGGTATTGTGCAGCGGCTGTGAAGTCAAATTTCACTTTAAAAAATCGAAACTATCGAACATGTTTCGTCTGAATCGCAATTACGTATGCATCGAAAAAGCAAGAGAAATTTTAGAAGAATTAAAAGCGCAGAAAACTTGTCTGAATAATAAGCTTGTGAACAAAAGCAAGTTTTGAGAGGAAGAAAATCTTTAGCTTTCGAAAAAAAAAACCCTGTCCCGAAGACTACCCCTTGTTTCGGCTAGGGGGAAGTCGTTACATAACAACAGGTGTAAATCACCACCCTGGGTCGCGGGCCACGTGTGCGGCGGGACCTTCTACCATTGTTAATGACGATCTTGATAAGAAAGTAACAACAACATAACTTCTTTCTTCTGAATCTACGGCTCACCTTATTAACATCTTTGCCAGAAGTTGGAAGATTTGTGACCCAAAGCTTTCAGTGGTTGCCTTTTTTAAATTATCATAAGTTTCGAGTTTCCTGCCACTTAATTGATACCTGAGTTCGCATAACAAATCAAAGTACAAGTTGAGGGGAGTGCGTTGATCGAGCTCCAGTAGACAGACGAGCTCGGCGATTTTTTGACGGGACTCAGAACGAAATTTGCACGTGTGTTGTGGTGCTGTGGGTGCACTTATAATAGTTTTCGACGTCTTTCCTCAATTGTCTCGGCTAAGTGCTGGGGCTGATCTGTGTAGACAGTACCTATATCTTTTCGCCTGCGTCTAGCACCTCATCGAAAATGGGTCTTTCAGTCCCCTCCCCTCTCTTCATCAAGTTGAGAGAAGACATTTGCGCAGTCCTTGAAGGGTTGTATCTTCTGCAGAGAAATCATTCAACCATTTGTTGAACTTCTCGAAGCTCTTGTCTCCTCACTTTTATTGGTAAGCTTTCGGCATGAAAGGCCTTCAAAGGACCTCAATTTCTACAATATTTTGCTGCATGCAATCAGTTAACTATCAGTTGTTATATGCCGAAAGCTTACCAATAAAAGTAGAGAGTCAAGAGCTTCGAAAAGTACAAACCAAAGACAACGACAACAAGTCTAGATGAAGCTCAAAGATAGCAATATTTTAAGCATTGTTAAATATTGAACGGTGAACAGTGCCGTCGTGGGACAAGCCGGAGCCCAACGAGCGATGGTTGTGCCGCCCGTTGATTTGTCTCTCGACGGCACTCGTAGAGGATGATGGCGCGAAGTTCGTGAACATGTGAGAGCCCACAAGTGTGGTCTGTATATCATGGGTCGGCTGCCCACTCTCAGGGAAGGTTATCACCCTGACTGACATGTTTGCTTTGTTTGTACAAATTTTTTCTCGTTTCGAATCTTTCGTCAAAGATCTTCATTGCCTACCAGTCAGTTAGTGTGAAAGTGGTCGGGTAGCTGAGGTTTCGCTCCTTACGCTCATAACCTGTATGATTGACCATGGACAGGCTCAGTTATCTCAGGTGAGCATAAATTGTTCCCAGGTAATTATTGCGCAACCAAGGCCTACAGTCCCTTACAGGCCACCTAAGTAAGGTTCTGTTTTCTGACAACGTCAAACCTTTGAAGGATAACAAGATGAAGTTGAATAGAAAGGTTCTTTCTGTTCTATACCTGTAAAATAAGTTTTTACCATTTCTATTTCAGTTTCCGCGCGCTCTCGTGGATAGTGAGACAGGACATAGCTTCTGGTGGGGTGACGCGTCGTTTGCGCATCGTATGCGTCTGCTTCCGCAGTCATTAGCAGCGGCTCTCTATCGCGATCCCGCACCTTATGCTGCAATGAATTGCAGGGCAAGCTCTGGATCGGCAACGGAGGTAGGTGAACTCCTTTTTTAATTTTTGGTTTCCTCCGGCGGAGACTTATTCCTGACGTATTTCGTGGAACTATTCTGTTGGTTTCTTCTTACTGGCAAATAAAGCTGCGAAAGCGTAATTATAGAAACCGTCGTTCCGTCCAAAAAAGGTGCTCATCCTCAGCAAAATTACCCGATATGAATTCGAGANCAGTCATTAGCAGCGGCTCTCTATCGCGATCCCGCACCTTATGCTGCAATGAATTGCAGGGCAAGCTCTGGATCGGCATCGGAGGTGGGTGAACTCCTTTTATAATTTTTGGTTTCCTCCGGCGGAGAGTTACTCCTGACATATTTCGTGGAACTATTCTGTTGTTTTCTTCTTACTGGAAAATAAAGCTGCAAAAGCGTAATTATAGAAACCGTCGTTCCGTCCAAAAAAGGTGCTCATCCTCAGCAAAATTACCCGATATGAATTCGAGAAGCGGGTACACGGAGAAGATGATGACAGAAAACTTGAAGCATTGGTGAGTCGTCCCTCTACTCCTCTCATTCACATATTTATGTTTTTCTTCAGCTGAAACGACGTGGATCAGATTATAACCATTTGTTAAAGAAGCATCAGATCCATCAAACATATTTGCAGACGATTCAGTCAGAACTGGAGTATGTTTCTTTGCGCTTCATTCCGGTAGAATAGTGTATATCCTTTGTGTTTGTTTATATTGCTATCAGAAGCTACACATGTCGTTTATGTAGCTTTACCTTTGTGTTTATTGCGTAGGCATTATTCAAATCTCAAACCTAGTGGACCGTTTATAAATGGAAGGAGTAAACAGATTAAGCCAAAGGTTCGAGCTACCTGAGGTCCTCCCGTTCCTTCTACTGTTATGGATGTCTCCCTTTTTCAATTTAGAAGCTAGAAGCAGTAAGCTAATTAGAAAAGAGCTGTTAGTCTCTAAAATACATTTGCGTTTGAGGAAGTAGCGAGAGGGATAGGGAGTTGGGCGACTTGCGAAGCCTTGATTGGGTAAGGTGGCCGTGCTGAACATAACTGAATAAGTTGCTTTGGTCACTTTTGTGTTTTTGTTAGACCCATTGTTAGCAAAAACTTAGAAACATTTAGAAAAGCTGTGTCTTTGATGTATTCTTTATCAATATAGTTGGTGCATTATTGTTCAGACGAGCTGGTGTGGAATCCAAGGTCGTCCAAAGGTTTGACTACACAGAAGAAGCAGTAAACTGGGCAGACGTTGTGATGACCGCTGGTGGAGACGGAACTTTTTTGCTTGGAGCTTCACGTATACATCAGAGAAACAAGCCCGTCATAGGCATCAACACTGATCCTCAAGGGTAATTTAATTTTTATACATCCGCTATTTCCTTGAGACCATTGCTTTTTCTTTGAGATCGGAAGGCTACATGTGTTTAATGCGAAAATTGCCGAAGGAACATTTTCGGTCGGCCTTGCAACGATTGCTCGATGGAGATTTCCAGTGAGTCATTCTATTCCACTGTTTTCGTTCTTTCCTGCGTCATCCAGAGTTTCCTTTTTAAATAGTTTTTATTTCAACCTTTTTAGAAACCATTGTAACTCAGTCATGTTTTATTTCCTCTTTTAAAGCTGGTTGTATCGTCAACGGATTCGCATAACACTGAGTGGTGATAGACAAGCGGGTGTCGGCGATTCAATTGAACTTCACGATCAACAGTTAAATCGAATGCCAGCCACAACGCGATGGATGGATGGCCATGTAACAACATCTTCTGCCTTCTGTCACGCCAATCAAGGAGCTACCCCTCCAAGAGAAGACGGCTTGTGCGGCGTGAAAAAGTCAAAGTAAGCCACAATGCCCGTGTGTTTCTACTAGACATTTTTTATTATCATAGGAAACGTCAGCGTTCGCCGCCAGAGAGAGTCACGATGCAGTTACCCGTTCTCGCGCTGAATGAAGTATTTATTGGAGAAAGTCTTTCATCACGGGTATCATACTACGAAATACAGATCGATAATGGAAAGATGGTCAAACAAAAAAGCAGTGGTATTGCTATCTGCACAGGTATGACTTTAATTGATTGGTGAAAAGTAACATAGCGGTAGAGTAATCATTGTTGAAGCGAATATTCGTGGGGCATAAGGAAATATGACGGTGGCAGTGGTACCGTGTTGTTCGGTAATTTTGTTCTCATCTTACTTTACAAGTTGCGCTCAGAAATCTCTAGAAAACGATCTGTATTTGGAGTTTTTCAGAGTTTTCTGCATTTTTATAACATTTCGTGGTCATTTCTATGTACAACAAATATATTTTGAAAACATTTACACGATCTACAAGACATGGAAGTAATTTTGACATCGTTTCGGATGTTTTATAAAGCGAAAATATGTCAATGTCGTCATGATTGTGAGCTTGCCATGAGATTCTATTATATTAAAAGGAGTTTTGCGGGCAGCTGGTGTGCTAACTGATAGGTTATGGTAACCCTTTTTTTGTTGGGATTGTGTCTTGACATCATTTCCCAGAGCTCCTATTAATGTTCTTTGAGCCAGCTGATTATGGCCAAATGTTATTTTCTCCTCAGCAGCTTAACAAAATTATGGTAAGCAGCTTTTGATGACCCTTATTATACCTTGATTTTAAATGAACATAGTACATTCTAAAAAGTGTCGTGTTGCTAACATGACATACCATTTTGTTAACTTAAAATTATTTCAAAACTAATTCGTGACTTAATCTTAGAGTCAATACTATGGAATAGAAAAGTTTCCTACAAATGGTGTATTACATAATACCGAGAAACCGGGTCTCAGGAACCATGGTCGGATTATAGTTCAAAATTGTCGCAAATCAAAAACCTACTTATTCAAATCCAAATTCCAAACACTCTAGTTTAGAGGAGTATTTTGATTCGAAGTATCCTCGAATTGATATAAACTTTAAACGGGATCATTTTAGTGATCCCGATTCTCTCAAGTGTGCAGTGTTTTTCTCGTTCCTATTTGTTATCAAAGTATTCGTATACCATAAGCTAAATACCAATTTGTCTGTTTCATCTAATTCCATGTCTTTCAATATTCTACTGAAGTTCTTTTCTTACTTTCGTAAAATTAAATTGTTTTTTTCAGAATTACGCTGCTCGTATTAGAACAGCGTTTTGTTGCGGACGAACCTGTTTAAATTCGCTTTCCATTCAGGCACAGGGTCAACTTCGTGGTATTTTAATATCAACAAATTAACTGAGCAATGCGTATCCGAATTGTTGCGAATAACGTCGGAACAGTGCAATGTGAGTAATGGTTTACATTCATGTCTTTTAAATATCTTCGTCGAAGGGCAGCAGTAATTTCACTAAGCTTATAGTTTCGAACATTGTTTTACAAGGCTTCCGTGCCTAGCATGCGTCAATGTGTGCAACCATGTTGTCAGTCATTTACGACGTATCGTCGTTGTGTCGTTACTGGTGGGGTGTTACTGATTAGCGCACGTAGAAGCTAAAGTTCGCATTTATAGACATTATCAAATTCAAGAGAAAGCTGATTTTGTCATACTTTTGGGATTCCCTCAAAATATCACTGCCCGTACAGAATAATTTGTCGAGCCGTTCTCATTAATTGAGCCATGCCCTTCTCCTCTCCTCCTCCTCATCCTCGCCCCTATTTTGCTTTCGAAGTGTTCAGAAAAATGAGAAGTAGTTGTGCAGAGGGCAACAAAATGTTACCTATTTCAAATGCTGAAATACAATAGTTTTTTTGTAGCGAGGATTTAAGCGTAGCATTTTCATTTTGAATGGTTTTGAATCGATCTGTCAAATATTATCTATCATCGTTGCAGCAGTGTTGCAAGTATTTTTTTTCAGTTTTGCCCAGCTATCACTGACATTTTTTTACGGTATTGGGCAGAATCAGCTGCGTATGATCCTTAGACATGGTTGAAAATAGAGATTTGATTGACCCCAGGAAAGGAAGTCGCGGTGCGCTAGCTCCAGACCGTGAAATGTTGTCTTAACATGAAATCAGGGGTCCGCTAAACATTTATCTCAAGAGTCGTGAGGAGGTTCTCATTATGTGGGTCACCACCTCTTCCCGGTGAAAACGAGCGTTCTGCACGAAGAGGGGGTAGAATACGACGACCATAGCATAGAGCGACTGTCTCAATGTATTCGGGTATACGGGTTGTCCATTCACGTTCGCCTCCTCTCTTGAAATCAGGCTCGAAATTTTAACTCACTAAACATTTGGTTTTCTTTCAGGGGTCTGCTCATTTTAAGAATTTCATATCTGATCCAGAACGCGTGTTGTGCGGCGGGATCGTTTTCGAGGATGCGCACTTACTAAGCACACCGCGTCAGTCCGCATTGTGTAACAGATTAAACTGTCATAGTGGTATTGTAGAACTGTTTGCCTTTTCGCTTGTTAATTCGCAGTTCCATCTGTTCCACACGACCCGGCTTTAAGGGTTTTAGTATTAGGGGGAGCTTGTGACCTCGTTTTTCTGTTCACGGCTCGTTGATTTTCATGCTGCTAATACTGGCATTGCGATCAACTCACACCGGTTTCCACCAATGATTCAAGAAAACCCTTGGAATTAGTGAACCTTTTGCTATCGGAAGCCTGGACGCTGAGGTTTAGCCTATTTTGTTCCATGTGATCAATTTGCTTAGCAGTAATATTGCTGTTAAGTTGGGTAACCACTTGAATATTGGTGAGAAGTCAATAGGAAAATGTTCTAGGGATAACCTACACAGATCCGTGTTCCAGGCTCTGTTAAATCCGTAGAGGTCCCCTCGCTCGAACGGTTAGAAGGAACCTTCGGGTTTACCGAAATTCTGTTCAATGATGCGGCATAAGACATGAGGCAAAAACTCATCGGCAACCAGATAATGAGTCATATAGTAAGAGAGACTATCCCTACATCAACTGACCAAGTTATGTCTTGAATTACAAACCATCTCCATACACCTTAAACATTTATTAGATGTTTTTGCAACTCACTCCCAGCACCCACTGAAAAAATGGAAATCAAGAAGAACCACGTCATTACTTGATGCCTACGAATGTCAACACCCTTCCTATAGTGCGCTTCGTAGTTCCTTTGAAAGGATATGCAGATTTACGACACAGTAACAACCACCTCAAAGCTGTAGAAATCAGCATAATCGGAGTTTTTCAACAAGGAAGGGTCTATGCCACAAATCTTTGCTCTTCCAAGTGCCGTATCTTTTTTTTTATACTTCTGGAGTGTGTCGTATTATTATGTCTGAAACCATCCTGTGAGATAACACCGAATTTTTAAGGTTGCTCTCCCAGCCGATGACAAGCAAATGGTTAGCGACATTTGTACCAAGTTCAATCAGCAGCTCATATTCGAGCCTGACTCACTACGTACGTGTCTATTACATAGCTTATTCTTCTTCGTAAAAAAACTACTTATTAACGAAGGTGTTCAGGTATGGCGTTCACAGTACGGGATCCAATCTTCAATGCAACATTTTCCCCGTCAACACCTCGTGGATTTGCGGAAAAAATTTGTGTGAAGAGCCGTGGATACGATGCGCACTTGGTAGGTGAACCTTTTCTTCTAAGAAGTCGATCGCCATATTTGGTCTTTTGGCCATATGCAAATTGATGTTAGGCGCTCGCTCTATTTCCTTGCAAACTGTCACAGATCTAATTGTAAGAGGGAAAAGGTCTGAGTCTTTTTGGCATGCAGACCTTAACTTCTTCCAACGTGTCAGATGAACATGGCAAAGGCGCATTGGTTTTGGTTTCGAAGTTTCTTGGAAGAAAGCCAGTTTGCTTAAAGCATGTTTGACTGCACAGGAAGGTTTTTTTGAAAACGTGAGATGAATTTACACGGAAATTCAACTACATAAGACTTTCTATGGGTAGCATTTATGTCGTCGTTTTGTACAGCTAATTACTCGCTTCTTAGTGCGGAATGTTCGGAAGGACGGTGACAGAGCTAATTAATCTAACACTGAAACCTCCAAAAGGTTTAGAAGGGAGTAGTGACTGTATTAAGTGCATGGTAGGTACAACTGAAGTCGTTAGAATGTTGTTATTTTGGGTCAGGTATGAATGTAACGGGTCTTATAAAGGAGTACTATAGAACTGATAATTCGGGTTCAGCCGTGGCACCTAGTGGCTCATGAGTAGCCTTTTTTACGAAGTTCGGTCATATCATGTTATTGCATATGTCGTTCAAACTAGGCCATAAACCATGCTTTTACCTTCGACACCTCCCCCCCCCCCCNTACACCATTTCTTTGATTTCATAGAAGTCAAGGACGGCATCACATGGTATTGTCATTGGTAGTCGGGGCAGGACTATCAATTAGTTCAGTGTGCAAACAATTTGAATCATTCATGTAAGAGTTGGACAGTACGGTACTATTAACAACGCTGTCGGTGTCTTTTTCACTGTTCGATTACCGCTCGGTCGCATTACATGATTTACTGAAGTGCTTTACTTAGGGGTTGCTACATGCGACCTTGGAAGAAGTAAAACAAATAGAAACGGATGGAGAAGAAACAAAGGGAACTGGCGGTTAGATTCACATTTCAAAAGCGCAATCACGAACTTATTCGTCAGTTTCGATTTGCTTTCCCTCCCTGCTTTCCCTTTGCTTCTTGAATATAGCACGTATTAATATTGCGCGTATTCTGGTCCCTCCAAGGCCGCACATACCGGCCGCTCCGTGAAGTTCTTCTCAGATACGATTTGAGTCCTGAACAACATTTGTAATGAAGACCGTAAGTGTCAGGAAACAGTGCTGTAATGGTGGGTAGGCTGTGGCAATAACCTCATCTTTTGGTCATCGCTCAATGTTGTTTGGGATCTTACTTGACGTGCACGTTCCAACTAAAGAATATTCAAGGTTGTGGACGGCGGAGTCTCCTACCGTTTCAACGATGGTGCGGAAGCTACTGTGGAAGTGCGCGAAGAAGATGCCCTTCAAACTGTCATATTCAGATGACATTTAGGCACTCATGAAACACTTGCCAGTAAGAAGTGTCATCTCTGTGTTGCCAACATTTTTGTTACCATTACTGATGAATTCTAAATCGCGGGATTACAACTTACTGTTCTGTGTTACCAGTATTACTTTCGCTTAGGTTGTACATGTTACTGTGCATATTTCAAGACGTTCAAAATATTTATTGTTTTCAAATTTGTGATTTCTATTGCCATTGATTCTTGTTTGTTTTCACATTTTATATTTATGGTTGCAAAGGCGAGTTTGTTTTTGTGTAATATGATGACTGTTGACAGTCATAAATGATTGTAATATTGACTGTACTGTTTTATGGGAAAGAAATTGCAGCAAGGGGAGTGGAAAATTCCAGTGTGCACGATGTCGCTACCCGCGAAATTTCCTTGGAGGAATTGGAAGTGGAAAAGGTCGATATCATTACAGTTTTTCAACGAAAACCGTAGTGGATCGATCTCGAGGAGTACGGTAACAACAGTGTAAGAATAAATAGTGCTCTCATGGCACCGTCATAGTGTGTTGTATGATGATGGTGATGATGATGATATGCAGGATGAACTGTTTCATAGATTCACTGTTTCATATCCATTGCAAGGTCATAATGAGTGGGCGTGAGACTCCATCACTCAGTACGTGGAAAATTTTAAAGGCACAGTTCACGATGACCCAGAGGTACCCTTTTTAATTTGAAAAGCGAGAGTGTTGGTGGAGAGTAGTGTATCGGTGGCGAAGAAAGCGAGGAAATATGTCGACTTTGCGAAAAATAAGACTCACCCACAGTAGGAGGGGAGTAGATGTTGTACGAGATCACCATGACGTGAATGGCATATAGGGGATATTTGGACCAGAATTCAGATGTTGCAAATGCTCAAAGAACTGGCGACATCAGCCCGAAAATCTCTAGAACTGCCTTTCACCGTTGGCGTGGGTCACGTGTAACTGGATTACCAACATGGGCATCCCTGGAGATGGTGTAGCCTCTGCAAATCCGTTCAAACTCGTCCGCTATTGGTGTGGCATTCAACCGATACTATCTCT